CAAAATAGAGTTTTAAAAATTATAGAGAGAGTATCAAACCCACGTCATAAAGAACACAAACTTAGAACCAATCATAGACCATTTGTGTTAACCTACTATGGTAATTGAATATATAACTTTAAGTTTGTTACCTAATTATTGTTACAATTTAAATTAATTAACCATTAAAATAATTAATTTATATTTTAATAATTATAAAAATATAAATATAAAATAAAATCTTAACTTTAATTTATATTATATATATATTATGTTATAACAAGAATCTTTTATACCTAATCAAATTAGGTTTTCTTTGTGAAAATCTGGTGGAAGTCGGACTTGTCATGCCTAACTCAAAACAATCTCCTCCTCCTCCAAACTTATCTACTTTCTTCTTAAGAATGTTCCTCTACCATCAAGGTGAAGAAAAATATATTTCTTTTAGGCTTAAGAGATAATATAATATAAAAATTGAACTACAGGTAATTACACCAACATATTTATTTAAGTGTCAATTTTTTTACACTTCTATCTTCTATTATATTTGTTTTCACCATTTATATATTACATCTCTCATTCTATTCAATCCAACTCTCACTCCTCTATTGTCTAATTTTCATGCCACTCTAGTCATCATCATCTTGATGGTACTACTTTTTTCTTTATCTTTTTTTCTCAATTTTTATTACAAACAACTCTCACTTCTCTATTATCTAAGTTTATCTCACTAAAATCATCATCATTATTAGAAATATACTATTTTTTTCTTCATATTTTTTCTCAATTCATTCTTCTATTGTCTACTTTTCATCCCACTATAATTATCATCATCATAAAGATACTATTTTTTCTTCATGTTTTTTTTTCTCAATTTTGATTACACGTACACAATTCTAACTCCTCAATTGTCTAATTTTTATCCCACTACAATCATCATCATCATTAGAAAAGGTACTATTTTTTTCTTAATCATTTTTCTCAATTTTGATTACACATAATTTGATATTTGATAATTTATTTTACGTGTCAATTTCTTTCCATCTTTATCTTCTATTACATCTCTCATTTACCCTTTGTGTATTACATTTTCACACTTTATCTAATTTACCTCTCACTCTCTTTGTTTAATTTTCACCTCACATGACAATTTTTGTTAGAAATAGAAGGCAAAACTTTTTCTTCTTTTATTTTCACTATTCTTATTTTTTCACACTAATATGGGATTTGATACCCAATTATAATGAAACCAAATTTATGATAATTTGTTTCAATGTGTGTTTTGTTTTGGTATGCGCAACATGAACGTCCAAAGAGTGAGAATTTAATAGACTTTAAAATTGTAGAAAAAGAATATATAAAGGTAAGTACTTTATTTTTTTTTTTCTTCTTATTTGTAGATTTGATGTATTGAACATGAATTTTAAATTATTTTTTTAATATGTAAGCATTAATCTTGCTAGAAAATGATGGAAAAATAAATTGCTAATGCTAAATTGGATATTCATTTGTATATTCATTGTCGATATGATTTATTTGTTTTAAATTTTTACTAAAATTGAAAGTGACAATGATATATTTTTATATAACGCTTTCTATATTATTATTTTGTCATCTTTCTATATCAAATCACTTAATAATTTTTTTTTTGTTGAATTTCTCATTTTTAAATTTTGTATTTTTTATTAAATAAATCAACTTAATTCCTTTTTCTTTCTATTATTATATTATTATTATTAAATATTAATAATTATGATAAATTATATAATATCGTTACGATTTTTGTTAAATAACTAATAATTTCCAATTGTGTTAAATTAATAATTATATATATATATATATATACAATACTAATTAAGAGACTAAATTTTTTCTTTAAATGTCTATTATAAAAAATAAAAGACAATAGATATTATTTATTAATTATAAGAAAAAAATTGTTGGTTAAAATAATTTGAAATTATGTTTAATTATAAATTATATATAAAATAATTATTTTATTAATTAAGAGATTAAAATATCTGTTAATTTATAATTTATTTAATTAGTATTTATATATATTATTAATTTTATTGTTTAAGGGATTAAATTCTCTGTTTTAGATAAAAAAAACAGATAATAAATATTATAGTAATTAATATTAATATTAATGTTAATTATATACAATCATTAAGCAATTTTGCTTTCCCAAAACCTAAAAAGTTATAAATTGAAATACTACAATATTGTTACAATTAATATAGAATAATGGATACTTTTATAAGTAATTATACATAATATTAATTATATTAATTAATCATAAATTAAGAGACTGAATTGGATTAGAATGTTAGTTATAGAAAAAAAAATATTAAATAATAATTAATTATTATTAATTATAAACTGAAACATAATTAACATATAATTATTGATTATTAAAAACTAATAATCATCATAAATAATCTCATTTATTAGATAATTATTTATAATTAAAAGTATTAGTAACATTTTATTTAATAGTTTAAAAACAAAGTTAAAAACAATTTATTAGAACTTTAAAAATGTTCAAAAAAGAAATGTATAAATATAAAAGTTTTTATAAGAAAAAATTGTTCATCAAACATTTTTAAAAAATGAATAAAAGTATATTTGATTTCAATAACATTGTATTATATTTTTTTTTTCTCTCTACCTTTTCTATTTATTTTTATTTTTACATGTTAGTTTGAAAATGATAATCAAACTTTACACACAATAATATATAATTGAGCTTGAACTAAATAATTTTAATAAATCTGCTAATGAATATTATACTATAAGAATATATAATACTATATTTTTAATTGAATTATCTACAAATTGATCTAGAAAAGAAAATTACACAATTATTAACATTCAACAATGGAATGGATTGAAGAATGTCAATAACTGACGTTATTGTAAAAAAAAATATTCAGTTAAATTTTATAAGAATATTTTTAAATTGACATTGTATAAAATTTCAGATGACTAATAATAACACAATATTATATAGCAATGAATGGAATTTTTTTAAGGATGAATGGAAAAATTAAGTTATTATACTAATTTTTATAAAATATTTTTTAAAATAAATGAAGAAAAATTAATGTTGATTTCATTGTTGTTGATATATATATAAAAATATAATAATTAAAAATAATCAGACAATGATTATCACGTCAAATGACATATTGATTATTTATATCTTTAATTTTAGTTATTCTTCAATATCTCTTAAAATTTAATGATAATTAAATTAGTATATACAAATTTAGTAATTTGATTTTGTCTCAAATTAAAATCATGTTAATAATACAACCAGCTTGAAAAACTAAAAGTACAATAAAAATTTAATGTCTTATGAATTTCACAAAGACTGTGTGGTCAACTTCCTCTCCACACAGACACAGCCACAATAAAACTTCAAGTTCTATATATCACCTTGCCACATAATTCCACTCACATAATCACGCTTCAGAACCACATTTATTTTTTCTTAAATAAATAATCTCCATGCAAAATACGTTATATCCATTGGAGAAATATGGGTTGGATGAAGGTGTAACTCGAGAGAAGCATCAGAGATGACATAATAAATTTAATTAATTTAAATAAATGACCCATTTTAAAAAATATATGAAACAAATCATGAAGAAAAAGTATATTTAAATTTAAAATTTTAGGAGTTGAATTTTTCCATTTCAAACTTAAAGTTACATGTTAACATCAAACCCCTACAATTTTAATTGCTAAAATATTTGTTCTTGTGTATGAGTTTTCGAGAGAATTTGTTCTTGTGTTAATGTGCTGTTAAAATATCATTTAAAATTTTCTTGGTTTTCGTCTTTATCAAAAGCATTTACTTTTTCCGAAATTTAAAGAAAGAGTGATGCTATTTCTTACAAAGTTGTAGTCCAAACATCGTCCGAATACACAGTAAAATTTTTATTTATATTTAATTTATTAACTGATATGTTGGATCTTAATATGTATCGGAGATTATTTTCGGAGGATGTATTATTTTTCTTAAGAAAAATGTTTGACAACATCATTTACATGTGCCACAAAATAATTAATATATGTTCCATCCCTACAAAACTGTTTTAACCGATTCAAATCTATTAAAATAAATAAATAATTTTTCAAAATTAACTGTACAAATATTGAGACTTATCATCTCATTTTTTACTTAATTGATATGTTTAATTCATTTTTCCATCTCATAAGATTTAGAATAAAATTTTCTTATTAATATACTGCTTCCACCTACTAAATCTTTAGTCTTTTGAAGTTAATACATATAAATTAAGAGATACTTAATAAATATGAACTTGAATTAAAAAAATATATTTATTTAATATTTCAATTTTATTATTTTATTTTTGTAAAAAAATAAGTTAACAGTTGGTAAAAGAAATACCCATTAAAAGTAAGCATATAATTGAAAAAAAAATATATAAATTAAAAATATCCATTGTTTTGAATTTGACAAAAAGAGCTAACATTATGACAACTTTCTAATTTGGGATTTGATCATTAACAATACAATAATAATAATATGGGATGGATCTCGAATAAACCCCAAACCCCAAACCCCAAACCCCAAACCCCAAACCCCAAGAGTGTGATCACTCCACTTTGACTATGATAATCGACTATAATAAAATATCAGAGTGACTGAAATATCAGAATGAAGTGACGAAAGTGATACACTTTATCATAGTGAAGTGAAATATCACTCCACTTTGACTATGATAATCGACTATAATAAAATATCAGAGTGACTGAAATATCAGAATGAAGTGACGAAAGTGATACACTTTATCATAGTGAAGTGAAATATCACTCCACTTTGACTATGATAATCGACTATAATAAAATATCAGAGTGACTGAAATATCAGAATGAAGTGACGAAAGTGATACACTTTATCATAGTGAAGTGAAATATCAAATACTATTTATTTTACACAACCAACCAAGGTTTTCCTTTATTTATTGAAAGGAAAGTGACGAAAGTGATACAGAAATATGAAAACACTCTACCCATATCTCCATCAGATTTATCAGAGTGAAGTGAAATATCAGAGTGAAGTGAAATACTAAACCAAAGAGAAATACTACTTATTTTACAAAACCAAGGTTTTCGTTTATTTATTGAAACGAAAGTGATACAGAAATATGAAAACACACATCAAAAATGGAGAGAAAAGAGAGACAAACATGAAGATAACTAAACAAGAACAAAAAGGGAAAAACCATACCTTGTTATTAAACTGTTGCTAATAAACTTTGATGATATAATCATCATTACTTAACTATAAGTACCACCGGTTCCATACCCATAATCATTTGGGTTCCCGCCGGTACGAGTGTTATGGGCCGTAGCTGTCCCACTCGGGCCTCTATTGGCCCCAACGGGGTGGGAGCCCACCACTCCCTCAGTCACATGGCCCGTGGGCTGCCCAGTTCCATGACCAGGCATAGCCGACGTTTGATGGGCCCCCATGGGCTGCCCATATTCCCCGGTTGTGGAGTACGTGGCGGTTCCGGTCCCAGTTCCAGTTCCGGTGGTATAGTGACCCTGTCCCATGTGCCCCGCCGCGTTATGCTCACGCGCCGCCTGCTTTTCCAGCTCCGCCTCGGTCATCCTTGCGTCTTTCTTCTGTGTTGCCATCTCCTTGTGCACCGGATCACGTGCCGTCATCCTTTCTGCCTGGTTAAACCAAAAACAAGAAAAACATTGGTTCCATCATAACATGGTTTGATGTAACAAACACACACAAAAATTTATGTGCTACGTATACGCTATCTTTACCACACGTGTTAATGCCGTACGCGTGGCAACTTTCTCAGCTAATTGCTCTCCTCGCCTTACACGTATCTGCCGCGTACCTGTTCCTGACCTACTTTAATAAAATTGATTAGTTAAAAATGACCCATCAAATTTAACCTACCTTCTCAACCGTCTTCGATGGGTTGGTGATACTAATAGAAGGGACATGCATGCTTCTCGAGTATTAATTAATACAAGGCAAATTAGGTGACGACTCAAATATCCCTATAAATTAAGAAGCACATGTTAAAGACGATGTGCATGCATTCAATGCAACGTCCATACAGTTAAAGTTAGAGTAGGTTTCTTATTTGTTTTTTTTTTTTTTTTCTCAATTTTTCTAATGTGTGTCCTGGCCTTGAGCACATTTTAATAATGATTAAAATCTATTATCCAATGTCTTTTTTTAGTACATTTATTATGTGTGAGAGAGTAAACGGTAATAAATAGCATTAATTCTGGTTTTTAAAATTAATTTAATACCATTTTTAACCCTATCTTATAATTTGCTTTTTTCACTTCCAATTAAAATAATAATAAAACAGATTTTAACAATATTTCACTTAAAACATTAGACATTATTTTATGTTTTTGTTATCGCTAGTTTTTTTTATGAGTTAATCATCTATACATTGTCAGTGTAAAATTTTTTTACATTAGCAACCAGTTATATCTTTTAATTGTGTCATGTCACTGTTAAAAGTAAATGTGTTTATAGTGACATGACACAATTAAAAAATATAATTGGTTGTCAGTGTAAAAAAGACTTTATACTAGCAATATATAGGTGATTAACTCTTTTTCTATTAAGATATGTTTCAAATTATATTGATATTATAATACAATGTAATATGTTCTTCATTTTCTAGTATTATACTAGTGTCTATGAATAATTTTATAAAAATTACTTTTTTGTTTTGATGAAAATAAAAATTAAAAATTAAAAAAGAATAAATAACATGTACAAAAATTAAAATAAAATTGATTTAAATATATTTTTAATTTTTAAAATTTTTAAAATATTTATTTTAATTCTTATATTCAAAATTTAACTTTATCACATAATATTTAATTTATTAATATAAAATATTATTAAATCAGCAACAATAAAAATATAACAAAGTTAAAAATACATAAAATAATGTCTAATACTTTAAGTGAAATATTGTTAAAATTTGTTTCTTTAATTAGGAGTGAAAAAAAATGAAAAGACAAAGTTAAAAATGGTATCAGATTAATTTTAAAAACCAGAATTAATGTTATTTATTATTTTTTACTCTCTTACATAATAAATGTATTAAAGATAAACATTAGATAGTGAATTTTAATCATTGTTAAAGTGTGCCCGGACATATATTAGAAAAATCATTTTTTTTTTTGTGAATGTTAATTACTCTTTTGATGAAGGTTTCTTATTCTTATTAATTGCTCTTTCGAAATAGAGGTAAATTATAGAATAAACTAGTCTTTTGGTTTTTTTATTGGTTCACTTAAATTCTTAATTCTGATGCTATTAAAAATGTTTAATTTGATCCGCATTGCAATAAATACACGAGGTCAGGTCAACGGAGCGAGTGGTCCACGAGTTTTTTTTTTTTTTTTTTTTTAAATACTCGTGTCGCTGCTGAAAGGCTAAAAAAAGAAATAAATTAAGCATTGAATTTCAAGGTCCCAAAATGGCAAGTTATGGGAAAGCAATAGGTAAGTTTCCTTTTGAGTGTGTGCAAATGGGTGCTGTACTTATGTCTGATATGCAACTGCAATCTTCTTTTGCTATATTATGTAACGATTTCTTGCTTTTCTGCACCATCTATGTCACACTTTTATATGTAAATTGAGGAGATTTTGAAAGCTCCTTCTTCTTCATTTAAATAATGTCTCAGCCTTTCATGGATAGTTTCTTATTAACTTTGATGATTTCTCTTTAATGGACATGCAGGTGATTTCTCATGGATTTGTCTGATGGATTTTGATTTCACTTCTTTCTGTTCTCAAAGGAGCACAATAGACACAATAAATCTACTTTTAGTCTGTGTCTTCTACACGTGTGTAATTATTAGTCTAATCAGAAAAAGTTCTACAAGTGGTAGATTCAGGAAAAGTAGGATTTTCCTTCTTGTCTCTATCTTCTGTGCAACCATTAGCCTTGCATTTTACAGTATAGGCTTGTGGAATCTTATAGCCAAAACTGGTAACTCTAAGGAGCTGAGCTGGCTAGCTTGCATTGTCAGAGGATTCATTTGGACTTCTTTGACAGTTTCTTTGCATGTTCAGGGACACAAATGCATCAAAATTCTAAATTCCTTCTGGTGGACATGTTCCTGTGTACTGGTTTCAGCACTCAACATTGAAATTCTGTTTAGAAAGCACGCAATCGGAATTTTTTATATCGTACAATGGCTCGTACACTTCCTTCTTCTCTTCTGTGCCTTCCAAAATCTTGGTTACTTTGTCTCTCAAAGTGTACCAGAAAGTTTATCTGAGCCACTCTTAGCTGAGGAAATTGACACTACACAAACAGGACTAGGCCATGCTTCCTTTCTCAGCAAGTTGACTTTCTCTTGGGTTAATCCTTTACTAAGTTTGGGTTACTCAAAGCCACTAGCTCTTGAAGACATCCCTTCCCTTCTCTCTGAAGATGAAGCAGACTTGGCCTACCAAAACTTTATGCATGCATGGGAATCACTTGCAAGGGAGAGGAGCAAGCACAAATCCGAAAACTTGGTTCTTTGGTCTGTTGTTAGAACTCACTTAAAAGAAAACATATTAATAGCTTTTTATGCATTACTCAGAACCATTGCGGTTACTGTTTCTCCCTTAATACTGTATGCTTTTGTAAACTACTCAAATAGAAAGGGTACAGATCTCAAAGAAGGTCTTTCCATAATGGGTTTTCTTATTGTGTCCAAAGTGGTCGATTCTGTGTTCCAGAGACATTGGTTTTTTGATTCCAGGAGGTCAGGATTGAAGATGAGATCAGCTCTGATGGTGGCAGTGTACAGAAAACAGCTAAAGCTTTCAAGCTCAGCACGGAGAAGGCACTCAACAGGTGAAATTGTGAATTACATTGCGGTTGATGCGTATCGCATGGGAGAATTTCCATGGTGGTTTCATATGACATGGACTTCTGCATTGCAAGTTGTTCTATCTATTGGTATCCTTTTTGGTGTTGTGGGTGTTGGTGCTCTGCCCGGTTTAGTCCCTCTTGTCATCTGTGGACTTATCAATATACCATTTGCCAGGATAATACAAAATTGTATGGCACAGTTCATGATTTCACAGGATGAGCGTCTTAGATCAACTTCAGAAATTCTAAATAGCATGAAAATCATTAAGTTACAATCCTGGGAGGACAAATTCAAGAATCTGGTTGAAAACCTACGGGAGGAAGAGTTCATTTGGCTGTCCAAGGCACTGATTATGAAAGCTTATGGCTCGTTTCTATATTGGATGTCTCCTACAGTCGTTTCTGCAGTTGTTTTCCTTGGTTGTGCTCTTTTCAACAGTGCCCCATTGAATGCTGCAACCATTTTCACAGTTTTTGCAACATTGAGGAACTTATCAGAACCTGTTCGAATGATCCCAGAAGCTCTATCGAATATGATCCAAGTTAAGGTCTCCTTTGATCGTCTCAATATCATTTTGCTTGACCAAGAGCTAGATAGTGATACTAATGGAAGAAATATAAAGCGAAGTTCAGTTAACGCAGTGAAAATCCAAGGTGGCAACTTCATTTGGGATCATGAATCAGTGTCCCCAACTTTAATGGATGTGAATGTAGAAATCAAATGGGGACAGAAAATTGCAGTTTGTGGGCCGGTTGGAGCTGGAAAATCATCTCTTTTGCATGCAGTACTTGGAGAGATTCCCAAGATCTCAGGAACAGTGAGTTGTTAACAAAACAAGTTTTTTGTCATGACGAATTCATGTTTATAATCTTTTTATCTAACACCTTTTTCTTCCTGAAATTTCACAATAATGGTAAACAGGTTAATGTGAGCAGCACCATAGCCTATGTTTCTCAAACTTCTTGGATACAAAGTGGAACAGTTCGAGATAATATACTCTTCGGCAAGCCCATGGACAAGACAAGATACGAGAATGCCATTAAAGTTTGTGCTTTGGATAAGGATATTAAGGATTTTAGCCATGGTGATCTTACTGAAATAGGTCAGCGAGGGATTAACATGAGTGGAGGGCAAAAGCAAAGGATTCAACTAGCACGTGCAGTTTACAATGATGCTGACATCTATCTCCTCGATGACCCTTTCAGCGCAGTTGATGCTCATACTGCTGCTATATTGTTCAATGTAAGAAGATATCAGCTTTAGTTTCTTAACTTTAGTGAAACTGTTATCATAACTTCAGTGAATCAAACCACTTTCATTTACATACATGAAGGACTGTGTAATGACGGCTCTAAGAGAGAAAACAGTGGTTCTAGTGACTCATCAAGTGGAGTTTCTCTCAGAAGTTGATACAATCCTGGTAAAGTATCTCACTTGGATGGATGCCTATTACATTAAATTACATTAGTATATAATTAACATGAAATGTTATGACTCAAATTCTAGGTAATGGAAGGTGGAAAAGTTACTCAATCAGGTAATTATGAGGATCTCCTGACAACTGGGGCACCCTTTGAACAACTTGTGAGCGCTCATAAAGAAGCAATTTCCGAGTTGGATCAAAATAATGAAAACAAAAGACATATAGAAGAGTCTCAAGGTTTTTATCTCGATGAAAACCAAAGTGAGGGGGAGATTTCTAACGAGGGTCAACTTGGGGTACAACTTACACAAGAAGAAGAAAAAGAAATTGGTGATGTTGGCTGGAAGACATTCAGGGATTATATTTCATTTTCCAGGGGTACATTGATGCTGTGTTGTATCATATTAGCACAATCTGTTTTTGTTGCTTTGCAAACTGCAT